GATTTATCAGCTAGAACTGAGGTGGGAAGTCTGTTTATCAAGTAAACAGCATGTAGAATGCAATCACTCCAAAACCTGAGGGGAATGCCAGATTGAAACCTAAGAGATCTAGCTACATTGAGGATATGCTGATGCTTCCTCTCAACTCTAGCATTTTGCTCTGGAGTTTCAACACATGACTGCTGATGGATAATACCATTAACACTGTAAAACTCAGCCATGTGAAACTCAGAGCCTTGGTCACTTCTAACAACCTTAACTTGCTTAGAAAACTGTCTTTCAACCATGGTGCAGAAAGATTGCAACAAAAGACCAGCTACAGATTTAAATTTCATTAGGAACACCCACACAGCTCTAGAGTAATCATCCACCAAAGTCAGAAAATATGAAAATCCATCATGAGACTTCACAGCCAATGGCCCCCATATGTCTACATGGATCAATTCAAAAACATATAGAGCTCTACTAGAGCTAACAGGGAAGGAAAGGCGTTTGTGTTAAGCAAAGTGACAAATCTGACAATGGGAAACTACATCACTATTACAAGGTACTGTTTGTTTCTCCTTTTCCTTGCTGGGATGTCCTAGTCTCCAGTGCCAGAGGGATATGTTTTGTGGTTGAAAGTTGTATGAGAAGGATGCTTGTGGGACAGGTAAGATGTATGCTTTGTTCTTGGTGTGTAACTGGTATAATCCTCTACTCTGTCTTGCCAAACCAGTCCTTTTCTGAGTCACCAGGTCCTGAATTTGACAAGAATCATATTCAAAGTGTAAGGATATGGGTTGGTCATTAGTCAATTTGCTAACCGATATGAGATTAAAGGTGAAACTTGGCACAAGGAGGATATTGTCTAAGGCTAGGTCAGGAGATAATTGAACCTTTCCTATATGACTAACCACCACCTTGGTACCATTAGGCAGATTAACAAACTGATTATTGACAGGCACAGCTTTAGTGAACAAAGCCATACTACATGCTATGTGATCAGATGCCCCAGTGTCCAAAATCCAAGTATGAATAAGAGATTCTGCTCTGTGTTGTTTGAAAGATGACAAGATAAACTTACCAGCATAGTTAGGGAACTGAGTAATTCCATGAGTGACTGAGAAAGCCTGGTGGTTAATTGAAGGTGAAGCTGGTGGAGAAGGGCTGGGGGAAGGAACACTCTGTAGTAGATATCTCAGCTTGCTAAGTTCCTCAGATGAGAAACTTAAATTCTCCTTGGAAGACACACTCCTAGACTCTGAACTGGGTTTGGAGTCTGAACTGGAAATATCACTGTCATGAGAAGATTCACCCTGAGAAATTGCAGCTGCAACTCCTCCAGACATCCTGAGTTTCTTGTTCTTCAATTTCCAGCATTCTTCCTTCACATGACCTTCTTTCTTACAATAACGGCAGAACTTCTTTCCATCTTGGTCTTCTCCAGGGACAGCTAGAGCAACTGTCTGCACACCTCTTGTAATGCCCTTATCTGCCTTCAACTTTTGTTCATGTTGCAATACATCATCGATTGCAACCTCAACTGTGGGAAGTGGTTTCATCATCAGAATTTGTGTGTGAACCACATCAAACTCTGGCCGAAGGCCCTTCAAGAACCTTATAAGATAATCAACCTCCTGCTTCTGCTTGAAAGCCTCAACTGCTGCACATGGTTGTGTTCTCTGTGGAACACAGTTACAGTCCACTATAGGATTAAATTGCAGGTGCTCCTCCCATAACCCTTTCAGGGCAGTGTAGTATTGAGTAACATTGAGGTTTCCTTGTTTGCAGGCAATAATCTGGTGTCCCAGATTAGATAGTTTAATGGCATTAGCATACCCAAAACGAGCCTTGACCTCCTCCCACAAATCACGAGCAACATCATGCTGCATCACACTTCTTCTTATCTCCTTACTCACAGAATTCAAAATCCAACACAGGACTAAGGTATTACATGCATCCCATGTACTGTAATTAGGGCTCTCAATTCCTGGATATGGAATTGAGCCATCAATGAAACCCACTTTGTGCTTAGTCTTAAGAGCCATTCTCATAGCTCGTTGCCACATTTGGTAATTAGACCCATCTAATGCTTCTGAAACTATGGCTTGAGAGATGTTTTCATTGGGATTAACATAGAAGGGATTACCAAATTGGGGATCTGGACGATCGCTGTTGTTGTTGGTCGTCGTGCTCGCATTGCCAGAAGCCATACCACTGAAAGAGCCAAAAGGAATAGCTCCAGGAGGAGTGTTTGGTGGTGGCATCCCGGCCATCGAAGGTTTCTAGATCTGAAACCGCTCTGATACCATAACAAACTAGCTACTGCTAAGGTTTGTGAAGAAGAGAAGCGGCACGAAAGGTGGGGAACGCGCAAGAGAGCAAGGGATCTCTCTGCTGATCTATTTATACTAAACTGGAAATGTGTTCTTCAAGATACAAATGCTGGAACAGTAAAAAACGGAAATGAAAAACTGAATTTTAAAGTTACAGTAATAGTAAAGCGCCAGATGGTGGCTAATCATTCGCTCAGTGAAAGTCCACCCAACGGTAACTCCGAGACTCCACAAACGGCGTCGCTTTGCCTCTTCGTTGAAGTTGAGTGGAGGGAACCCAGAAACGTTTCGTTTCTGGGTTAGCTTTTCTCTGTTTCAGTTTTGCACTTCTGCACTTCACTTCTGCAGGTTCTGATCTTCTTCTTCCTCGATTGATAGTCCAAAAACTTGCGACAGCCTTCTTGTACATCTCCCAGAGTTGCTTGTACTTAATGGGGAACATGCAAAACCTCTGGTTTTGTTCTTCCAAAATGGGCTCGTCTTGTTCTTCTGCCAATTTCTTGTATCTGTCCATTGCTTTGTCTGCCACGTTATCCAGAGAACCCATATTTCGGGTTTCCGTCTCGCTGACCTTTGTCAATGGCTGTTAGACATTGTGTTATCATTTGTCTAATGAATTTAAGCCCATTTTGTATTTGGCTCATTTTACGTCGGGCGTATACTATACGTCAGGTACTACTAGTGAGATATATCTATCTAGTCCATAAATTAAATTGAGTTTGGGGTTGATACTATACCCTAACCTCTAATGGATAAATCCCAGCCACAAATTTTCTAAACCCCAACCCGAAGTTTGATTTAATGAAAAACAAAAATTGACCATTGAGATCGGCCGGAGCTCATCCAAGTACATCTAACGGTTAGATCACCTGACGTATAGTATATGTCTGACGTACATCAGTCATTACCATATATATATCCCGAGCCGTCAATGAAACTCTGAACACCATTGTTCCCGTTCAAAACCTCTGGTACACGAAGTCTGCAACCATTTTGTCAAGGAAAAGTTGGATGATGTTGTCAATCCAGGGGGCAGAGGAAGGGGATTAAAAGCTCCGAGCTTTTCTAAACCGACAGTGCTGACACCTTGTTCATTCATTCGACTCACCAGAAACCAAACAGTGGTTTCTCCTTGGTCCAAGCAAAGTGAAGAACTTAAAGACAAAATATTGACCCCTCTTCCCCCTACTACGTGGGCGTGCCAAGCTCCCCCCTCCTTGGAATTGGGGGAAATGCTACATCCCAAAAGTTGACCGTTGCGATTCAGTACCCACATAATGGAATAAGGATCTTCTTGATAGGCCATCTGCCTTATTTGATGGTAAAAAAATGATTGACATATTGGGTTAGAATGCGCACTCAGAGCACCTGGCAGCTTTATGAATTACGCAATGCGCTTTATTCTCCTAACCCCCCCCAACCCCTGCGCCTTCGCTTCGAACTTAGGAGCGCTTAGCTTTGATACTGATGGTAGCATGGCGTATTCGCGTAGAAGACACCGAGGCAAGGAAGCAAAAATTGTCGGGGAGATAAAAATGTATCGATTTACTTGGCAAGAGCCAGCTCGAACGGAATGCTTTCGGATGAAAATACAGTTAACTCCTCTCCCCTCTCCCCGTTGGTTGAGCTCTAACCTCTCCTTCTCCATTCGCAGTTTGACCCCAGGTCAATGAGTTCAACATTCAATGAGGGTTTCCACATGCCTAAGATTCTATTGAGAGGACAAAATTTGTGCCTAACCTAAGACTTTCATAAGAAGTGATTGTTGGTAGATGCATTTTTCTCTTCCTGAAAAAAGATGGTTATGCAATATGCTCGACCGAAGGGAGAGAAATTCAATATACTCGATCGAAGGGGTAAAATATGCTCGACTGAAGGGAGAGGAATGCAATATACTCGACCGTGCGAATTTTTTGTGCTTGGGAAAAGAAAGACCTACATGAGCGAAGGCTAAAAAAAGATAAAAAGATAGTGAGTCGAATGAGGGAACATTTGTCATTCATCCAGATCCTCGTCCTTAGTTTCAGTTTACGAATCTAGTTCTCTTATTCTTTTTTATTATTCATCTTAAAAGAACAGCCACGACTTAGCGGACTTACCAAATTGGAATAACAGCTGCCACGCACAATCCAATATTAACGGACGAATCGAATCTAATTTTTAAGTATTAACAACCCAATGCAGTCCAGGTTTTTAGCGAGAAAGTAGGAAAAACGGTGCTTCAGCACGGCGAAACCAGAGAAAGTAGGTTACATTTTGAATCAAAGTAGCGACAAGCCGATTACTACGACTACAGGGGGTAGGGGCGGATGGCGTATTCTCAAAATACCGATATCGACGGCTGTGGTAGTTGGGGCATGATTTAGTAATACGCCAGTTTGTCCACTATTAGTTATATATATATATATATATATATATATATATATATATATATATATACTACTACTTCGGTGCACTCACAAAAATGAGTGCGTTCAATGCACCCAACTCAAAAACTAGTATTAAGATGTCGAATTTTGAATTATAATTTGTATAATTAGATTAATATGATGATATAACATATGATAACAACTAATTAGTGGATTACCCTAAGCCCTAGACCTCCAATTTTGAGTTCTATCTCTAAACCCCAAATTGTAAACCCTAACCCTAACCCTAGATCTCTAAACTCTAAATCCTTCAAATTAAAGTAAATCTTTAATGGTTTTTGTGCAAATTCATGTGCTCTATTATTCATCACATCATAAGTGATGATTGACATCATTTTGACATAAATCGCATGTTTAAAATTAAAAATTACGGTTATGAAGTGAGTGCATTGAATGCACCCAAAAAAGTGAGTGCAGCAAAGACGCCACCATATATATATCAAGGTTGAAGAAGAGCTAGTTGTAAGGTGGATGTTGGAGTCTTGCCTAACATCTAGCTCGCCTAGGCGTCACCTAACCTGCTTAGACTTTGAAAGCAAAATTAGCAATTTATATCATATAATGAAAGAAATAAAAATTGTTGCACTCCCTACTTCAGTTTGATTGATTAATAACTTACTTAACACTTAACAACAAGAGAAATAGCTCACAAGCTAGCTCACAAGCTCATATAAACATAGCTAAATAGCTCATAAAGTTCTTGAGCTATTGAAACTATTGATATAGATGATCGAGTTTGTAGATGATGCTGATTTTGTCCTTTGATATTGGCTACCAATCTCAGTCTAATTATGCCTAGGCATCACCTAGGTGTCTTCTTACTCTATGACATATTTTTGATTCTAAGTCGCCACGAAATCCAAAGTATTTTGGTGTTGCCTAGAGCCTAGGCGCGTGTCTAAACGTCAGTTTAAGGGTGCTTTCTTGAACCATGATATATACAAACACTTGTAATAGGTCAAGACTCTTCTTAAGAAAGACTATACGATTTCAGCTTGGAGAGTTCTCACTCTATCCTGTGGATTAGTAGAAGCTGGAGTGGTTTGATAAGTATTGTGGCCAAAGGATTTGCTAGCTCCCTTCTTGTCTTTCCCGGAAGATAATTTAACTTGTATAAAGGCCAATTGTTATATTCTAGAGCAGCAAGAGAATCTTTGAATAGAATGACATTGGCTTACCACTACAACTCTAAATTGGTATGTGTTAAAATTATTGGAAATCAATTACCAATAAAAAAACAAGCAAAGCATTTTAGCTTTTATACAACATCAAACATAGTTCAGAAAGCTCATGACAGTCATACAACAGAAAATGGTTAAGGGCAGGATCCAAAATCGAAATCGTGTAGATGCTTGGAGACAAACAATGGTTATAATTGATTAAATAGTCCGCAAACTTATTACTCTCACAGTAAATATGGGAGAGAAACGACTTTCAAAACAATTGCGCTTCAACTATAAGAAATTTTTACATTGCATATCCGACTAGCATTAAAGTATCCAAATGTGCCCAAGTAAAGAACCCATCATCAAGGCCTCTTATTGTAGTAGGGGCCATTGATATCTCACAAATGGATTATATGTCTAAAATACATTACGTAAATCTTAAGTTTCGCATAGATATTTAGCAACTCGACCCTCATAGCTTAAACTGAAGCAATGTAGAGCTCCCATCAAGACCTTTTTCAAAGTAGCGGGCACCGTAGTTGTGCATCGTGTTTTCCTTGTATATCGGCGGATTATCTTCCTACACCAACTCCTTTATCGGCCCATAGATCTTCGGATTCGGTGAAAGTCATGTGCCGAAAAGTGATGCTATCGACACTCTTGGCCCAACACTTTTTGCCACCACTCTGTGCTCCACGCTTATAAACACATCGTTCGATATCAACTGGGGAAAAAATGTTGGACCGTTATGCATGTTACGAGTCTCGAAGAATTAAGTCAACTTTCCACAACAACAAAATAACTAAATAAGGAACTTGCCTGAAGCAGATCTCCGATGTTAATCACCAAACCTCCAAAAGAGTAAGGCACATCGACCCATTGATTCCGATGAAGAACCTGAAGCCCTCCGATGTGATCCTGTAGGAGGACAGTGGCAAAGTCGAGATTGGAATGTTTTCCCAATCCTATCGTGAGTTCCGGCCGGATAGTAATGACACCCCATCACAATTCCCTCCACACAACCAATCTCTTTGAGATGATTTGACCTCAAACCCAGAGCCTCGGACAACAGCTGAAACAGCAAATCTCCCAACTTCTTCATCTCCCCGGAGTACTCCGTCAGGATTTCCCTGCAGCAAGCCGGTAGTTCCACCGGCACTGGCGGATCCGGAGCCATGTGATACTCACGCCAGTTGGCGGCGGGTGCGTTGTACAGATCGAAGTTGTTGTACGTTGTAGACGACTTTCTTGGTCGGGTCGCGGCCGAAAAATTCCTTCTTCATCTCCACGTCCTGCTCGTAGAACCTGCGGATTCCGCCCTACATCTTCTTCATGGTTCACCACCTGGCCGAGCCGGCGTTGATAAATCAGAATATTATTTACTACTTGTACTTCTCGTACTATTGATACCTGGAAGAAACCCCATTTAATTTGCCTATATATATATACTAGGGAGTCGCCTGCGCTCTGCCGCGGGGTACGTTTAATTTGTGTAATCTCTGGCTAATGTAATGCAGAGCAGTAAAGTTTGCTAACTAACAATCTTCACTATCATCACTTGAGGAAAATTAAATGAAACACCATTTGCTTAACCTTTTTTTCTTAAGGCAACAAAATGAATTAATTCATACCTTCCCCCCCCCCCCCCCCCCCCCCCACAACGTTTTTATGCAATCTTTGAACCTCTAATGGTGAGCACTTGTATTATTAGTAACGAAAGAATATAAGAAGATTGAGGTTCCATTAGGAACCAATCTAAAGCAGAGAATGCAAGAGATTGAAAGGGAAAAGGGGCCTTTGGGACTGTATTTTAAGCCCAAACTAACGTTCATACAATGAGGATTTTATAGATGGAAGTTACATAAGAAAACAAAAAAAGAGATAACGTAGCAGCTGCTGCACTTATCCACAAATGACGAAGGAAATGTAACAATACATCAATTTGGGACAACAGACATGGTTTCGAGCCAAAGAGAACACCACAGTCAAAGGTAAAAGACTAAATTTCAAGCACCCATAATAAAGCTTTACTCCTGGAGACCAAGAAATTAACAACTTTCTAACTTGATCAATTGCAGCAGCACATTGTTGTCGAATAGATTGACCATCTATTGTGACGCCATCCAATGAAACAACATGGCTCCTCCCTGATTATAAATCCACAAATCAGCACCCAGAACTGTCCTCAATGTAGCAAAGTGTCACTGGGATACGAAAGAGAGAATCTGGGAACAAAAAATGCGAGAGGGGGGCTCAACTGGGAACAACAGGCTACAAAAATTTTGATGGTGGTTTACCTTCTTCTTCGTCTTGCATCCCTGGCATCTTTTGCAGCTCCAGACAGAGGATCTAGTGAGAGTATCATCAAAAAATCTGACAAAAACATCCAGATCAAGGAAAACTAACAGAAGACACTAAATCTTAAAAACTGGAAATGGAAGGATGAACGTCAAAATAGAGAAACCACAAAGATCCAACTTGCTGCTGGAAGAGTGACTTGAACTCGCCAAAAGAATTGTGGATAAAAGCACGGATAGTGGGGAAGACAACAAAAAGGACCGGTCAGTAGAGCAGTCAGGGAGCTAAAACAAAAAATTGATATGTTGTCTGCTTCCTTCACTTCTGCCTCAACCTCCTCAGTTAGTATCTACAAAATCAAAGAATAGTTGTTGTCATGCCATCAACTTGTAACTGAAAAACCAATAACCTAAAATTCGAAACCAGAACCATTTGCATAGTAACCATAACCAGGTTACCATATTGACACATCTAACCAATGTCAATTGCAGTAACAGGAGTGGAAGTGGTTAACCAACCCTAGACCCAAAAAACATGTAAACCGCAATTCCAATTCCAGAAATCGTTGGCCTTTTGAGAGAAGCCAGGATATATACCTCAGAGAAATCAAGTTTTGTAGCATTCTCACGGAAACCCATAAACTTCACCACTTTAGAATAGACAATGGTATCTTGAACAATCTTGGCCAGCTCTGGAAAATGCCAACCGTACCATTTCCTGACTCTCATTGCATAAGTATTAAGCTCCTTATCAAGATCGTCAAGCAACCCAATAGCTTGAATAATCATAGTATCAACCTGGAACATTAAGAAGAAAGCAATAGGTCAAATATAGACACAACTATGCACAGAAATTATGGAAAACAAATGCATCAAAGAAGTGAAGGTACCTTATCAGCGCTAAACTTCAACTTGTTTCTAGACAAGCTATGAGACAAACCAAGGCTCATTGGTGCCAGATCTTGGTTCGCCAGACCAGCTATAAGTTCTGTCAACTGACTCCTCACACCTCTCATCAATTCCATGACAACAATGTTGTGAACACAATCGATTTTCTGAAATTCCAATCAACAATCCAATTCAGAAAAGCTGGTATACAGAAACACACACCATGCTCAAGCCCAACTGGGAGCTTTTATGGTTATCACTTGACATAAAATCATACCAATTTCTCCTTGATTGAATTTCCCAGCTTCGAGTCAGCCACAGCCAATTTCTCGCCTTCACAGTGAGCTTTCAGGAATTTTCGAAGACCTTTCGTGGTCAAGCCATCGATGATTTTGGTCACTGCCTCTAGAGCATCAGCCGTGTTGTCAAACTTGTCAAAGGCTTTCAGCTTCACCACCTATTTTTTCATAAACCACTTATCAAAACCAAAGACTAAAGGGAAAAGACAATCACATAATCTATAAATGTAACTACACAATCTCAAGTCCAAGGGGAAAATGGATATCTACCTTTCCTGCAGAGTCCGAGCTCGAGAACTCCTTCCACAAGTCCTGAAACAAAACCCAGAAGATTAAGCTTAACAATAAACAAACAAAAAATTGTTGCCAGTAAGAACATGTTCCCATCACTTTGTTAGTACACTAAAACAAACCCTATCATGTATCTTGGCGTAGGTAATCTCTACGAACCTGTGAAGACTCTACTACCACTTAAGTCCTCTGAAGTCCCTATTAGTAAAATAAGCGAGGTAATCTCCAAGATCAGAGGTACCTTCAGAGACAGGAAGGAAGAGTTCGAACCATTCAAGAAATCAGAAAACAAACCCAGATTGAAGGAGAGAGAGCAATTACCTAAAACTAAAACCCAAAATCCACGAACCTGCTTCTTCCCCAACCCCACCGTGAGCCTCCGAAACCTGACAATCAATCAACCTGAAAACCCCGCTCATTTTTTATTGGGGGATGAGAGAAAAGAAGGAAAAAGTCATGGAATCACCATTCAGTAACTAAAGAAAAAAGAGGATTGCAGATCTTGAACCTACCGTTATATCAGCATGCTCCGGCTTGAGAACTACCCTGTTCGCTCAACACTACCTTGCCTCCGAAATGAGAGAGAGAGAGAGAGAGAGAGAGAGTGAGAGAAAGAAGGATCATCTTCGGATCTTCTCTTCGTTGGTGAGGGACGCTCAAAACCGATCTGGTCGCCGGAACAAACAAATCTGGTCGGCGTATCGCTTAGGGGTTCCCCACCTCTCTCTACCTGATTCCTGTGGCCACCACCATACCCTTAGCCACCACAATCGGAGCGCCATCGTCCCAAGCAAGCATATCATTGACTCCTGTCTATCCCTAAAGAGAGGAGACAACGAATGAAGGTACCACTGATGCAAAATAGGAGAGAAAAATGAAACGAAAGATTAGAGATTCATAGCTCACCGGGATCTCATGATTTCCTCCACTTCAACTGGCAGCTTCTCGCCGGCTGGTCGCATGTAAAGGTGAAGAGGTTCCTCAGCGGATTCTATTTGCAGTTCAGAGGAAGGAGGGAGAGAGAGAGAGAGAGAGAGAGAGAGAGAGAGAGAGAGAGAGAGAGAGAGAGAGAGATGAGGAAGATGGAAAGATGGGATCAGGGTGAATTGGAGAGAGACTCCAGTTCTTATTTGTGGATAGTGCAGAATAGAGAGAAGAAGGAGGAAGGGGGAAAAAACCTGGATCACGGAGTGCAATGCTATGGGTCTTGATCCTTTCTATATGGCTTTCACTCCACCGCCAAACCATCATATCATCCTCTCTCCTTCCCCTGCCTTGATTGGACAGAACCGGCCAAGGCTTCCTTCTACTCCCAATCGATTGTTTTTTTCCTTCCTTTTCCCTCGGTCGACGACACTAAACAGTGGAAAAGGAGATGGGAGAGGAGCAGAAAACAGAGGACAAAGGGATGAGAGAGCAGAGAGAGATGTAAGAAGAAAGATATGTCACCTTTTTAGTCCCTCTCCCTCAGCGTCGCTCAGTCTCCATCACAAGCATCCATCAGTAGTAGGCTAGTAGCCTTCCCTCATCATAGAGGCAAAGCTGCCAAAAAGCCTCGATCGTACCGTGAGTCAGGAAATGAGAGAGGAATCAAGAGAGAAGTGGAGATGGAGGTGCACTGAGGGCAACGCGATTTCCATCGCAAGCAACCCGCCGCCAGAGGGAGGCTCCCAAGTGAAATCCACCACCGATAGAGAGCAACAGCCCATCGACCTGTCAGAAAGAGAGAGGAGATGCATCGGGGCCCTCAACATGCAACAACCAATAAGAATCCAATGAACAGAGTAACTGAGTCCAAATGAATAGTAGGATGTGTCTTGGTGTACAGGGATTGGGTGTTTGTGGGATTAACTTTTCTTAATGCATAAGTTACCAACTACAGTACGTAGCTAATCTAAGTTGACTATGTCCAGTTGACTTTTTGCTTAACCACGATCCTTCCCAGCTGGCTCCATCGTTTAGTACTTGTCTCGGATGAAGCGGTTTATAATTAGGAGAGCCATTAAGTAAGAACAAATGAATATTACATGTGGTGACAAGGAGAGAATATCTAATAGATTTTGTTAGATGAAACATTAAGGTTAATTGCATAGTTGGCCACTGAGATTACAAAAAATGTTCAAGTGTGGTCACTCGAAATATTTTAATCTATTAATGGTACTTTAGTTTACGTTTGGTCACTCTCCGTCCAACTCCGTTAACTTTGGCTGATGCGGCAGTCAACTCTCAAAGTTGACCATTGACTTAGTGACCTAGCAATTAAGAAATAATAAATAAAATAAAATTTCATATATTTTAATGTCCAACTCATTTTTACCATAAAATAAATAAAAATATTATAATTATTAATTACCAACCCAACAAACTAAGGCTCAGCATCTCGAGTGGATGGTGATGATGGAGCATCGTTCGTAGTGGCCTTCGCTTCGTTCGTTCGGTCCGGAGTCTTTGGCTTGCCATCAAAGTTCCACTTCATTCCTCAACTATACTCTCGGCACTAGCGACGATGATGACTAATCGATGTTGGGTGAGAGTTGGTCGATGATGGCGCAACCATGGCGACGTCGTGGACAACAGTATTAGCTTGACTGCATCATAAATTAAAATAAAAATAACTAACTCGGCATAAAACGAAGGCACCTTCTTCTTCCTACGCCTTCCATTCAATACTTGATTATTCCTTGTCGAAAACGGCAAAGGCAAAAGAAAACCATACCCTTCTCAAAATCCAAACTCTTTTAATCACCGCGGCCATGTATCCCCAGCCTTGTCTAGACCAACTCCCGCCCCGACGACGACGTCGAACCCGCTGAGCGCGATGATGATACACCACCACCACCACCACTAACCGGCCGGAAAATCCAACACGGCGTCTTACAACCTCATCGAGCCTCGAGGAGATGAAAACCAAGGGCGTCGTCGATGTCTACCAAGGCGATGCCAAGTGCAGGGAGAAGTTCGCCCTCCTGCTCGCGGAAATCGGCTTCCCCGGCCGCGTGCTACTCGCTGCCGACGAGGAGATTGAGGAATGCGGTCACGTTAAGGAAACAGGGTTCATGTGGCTGAAGCACAAGAAGACGAAGGATCAATGCAAGTTCGACACCGTCGACGTCCGCTGCGACGCCGTCGTGACGACGTCTTTCGAGCGGCGGAGGATCAGGAACCTGACCGGGGTCAAGGCTAATTTATTTATCTTAATCGCTAATTTATTTATTTTATGGTAAAAATGAGTTGAAAATTAAAATAGATTAAATTTTTTTTATTATCTTTTAATTGCCACATCACTAAGTTAACTGTCATCTTTGAGAGTTGACTGCCACATCAGCCAAAGTTAACGGAGTTGGACAGAGAGTGACCAAACGTGAACAGTTTCAATAAACTGAAGTACCACCAATGGATTTAAATATTTCGAGTGACCAAACTTAAATGTTTTTTGTAATCTCAGTGACCAACCATGCTATTAACCCAAAACATTAATTAGGCCAAAGCTTAGTTTGCGTGTCAATGTAAACAAGCAATCATAAGAAGTAAAGAACCATAAATCGCGAATAAGCATTTGGTCTAGCAAACATCATTTATGGTTTCGACATGGATATCACCAGTTCGAATTTTAGGGTAGACTTTCTCCTTCTTTCACGATCTCTCTTAAACAGAGGAACACATCAGGTTCAAAACTCCTCCTATCCACATAACCCTGTAAAATCTTGCATCACAACAGCACTATTACAAGATCGTACTACCATCATATACCACATGTTATCACCGTTATAAGGTTGTAAATGAGCCGAGTCGAGCCGAGTTTTACCGTAATTTGAGCTCGGCTCGTTAATAAATAAGTTGAGCTCGAGCTCGACTCGTTTATTAATAAGCCGAGTCGATTTGAGTTCGAGCGAGACTTGTTTACTAAACTTTTAACTTGTATTTGATATTTCATTTTGTATGTCATGTATGATACGTGTGATTGATGACACGATGGGAAAAAAATAATAATAATCAAATGTTCAATATTAAAAAATCTCATATTATACTTTGTTGGTATCATATTATTTAGTTAATAAATTTTAACTTGTCTAAATCATGTTATTTCATAGTATCAAAGCAATCTATGATACATAATTTCTTTTTAAAATAAAAAATAATATTTATTTGCTCATATACTCAACTTGTTAAACTTCATATAGGGCGAGATATGTAATTTAACAATCATATGAATTAAACTCATAAGATAGAAATTGATTCGCCCATAAGAAAGTAATCGAGTTGGCTCTATAGCCACAATGTTGGGACATCTCATGAGCTCTAAACGAGCCAGCTCATGAGTTTAACTGAACAAGTCACCGAATCGAACTAACTCGCGAGCTTCACGAGCTAAAAAAGGCTTAACTCTTAGTCGGCTCTTTACTAAATAAGCTCACAGACCTGGCCTTAATGAATGGGGTCTTAAGTAGCATGTCGGGAACAAAAGGAAACTTGAATGGGCTCACAGACTAGGCCTGCCTTTATCAGTCCAATGCCAAAAGGGCCATACGCCATGGGCCCAGCTGATAAATTTTTAAAGACGAGCCCTATTCTCCCATTGTTTGGTGTAGCCGACAAGGTTGCTTCTCCCGAGTAGGGATGGCAATGGGTCGAGTTGGAGCGGGTTTTTTCAAACCCAAACCCAAATTCATGGGTTTATCCGCCAAAAAATCCCGGGGTAAAACCCACTAGGTTTGAAAAACTCAAACCCAACCCAACCCGCTGGGTATCCGCAGGTTCATGGGTACCCGTGGGTTTTTTGTGGTAAAAAATTTACAATAACAAATTTCTTTCAAAATAAAAGTTTAACATCAATTTTCTCATACAAATTATTCATACAAAAAACACTAATCTAGAACATACAAGCAAACCGCAAATGATCAATACAAATTGTTCAAAATTAAAGATAAACATCTATAAACAACAAGATTAATTGAAATCTTCTTCCTCGTCCTAAACAATTAGGAAGAACAAATTATACATGTCTCCACAAACATAAATAAATTAGTTGTTTAATGAAGATATATTATTTAGAATATTAAATATATCGGGAAAGTAATTATATGTGTGGGCGGGTACCCATGGAGCGGGTTTACCTAAACCCAAACCCAACCCGATGAATAGTGTAGCGGGTTTAAACCCGAACCCGACCCAAAACCCGTCAACACGGGTTTTACCCGCGTTGACCGGGTTGGGTCGGGTGGGTACCCGTGGGTTCGGGTTTTATTGCCATCCCTACTGCCGGGTACTATACTACTATGTAGGATGACAATGGGTCGGGTCGGGTCAGATAGTGCATATTCGTTACTCTACTTAAAATAGTTCGGGTTTTACTCATACCCATACCTACATGAGAAATGGGTAGAAAATCAAAACCATGCTCATACCTGTTCGAGTTTCGGGTATCCACGGTTATCCATGGATAATAATTTCTCTTTATAACGCCAATCAATATGTTAACATTCACACATATACTCACATTGCGTAAGAGGAAAAGTATGACAACAATTCACTAGAATGAAGAAACTTAGTTAAAACAAAACAATTTCATGAAAATATTATATTTATATGCTAAATATAAAATATGTTAGAAAAAGTAATGATTATTTCTAGACAAAATTCATATTCATGTGCATAATCGGGCGGGTTTGGGTTGGATAGTGAGAAACTCATGCCCACCCATTACTCGCAATTTTTGGGTTCGGATTTTATCTGTACCCACTAAAAGTCCGAAAAAAATCCCAAAGTACACTAGTTTTTAAAAAAAATTCCCAAAATACATTAGTTATAAAAAAAATTCCAAAACTACACATGTTTGAGCATCACCGTTTTTGTCTAAAACGGTGAAGGTCATCACCGCGTTTGACAAACACGGTGAGTACTTCACCGTTTTAAACTAAAACGGTGAAGTAGCTGACGTGGCAGACACGGGGTATTCACCGCGTTAGACAAACACGGTGAATAACCCGTGTCTGCCACGTCAGCGATCCGCCTCAGTGTGTTTTCACCGTGGCCGTTAGATGCGGTGAGGCGCGGATCGTGGTTTTCTTCCCGCGATCCGACGCCTCACAGCAAGCCACGTGGACGGGGAGCCGGATTTGGGGAAGGACAGTCCTTCACCGCGTTCATCAAACGCGGTGAATGCTCCCCCACATTTACTGCGCAGCAGCTCCTCCCCCCCCTTCCCCCAACTATAAATACCCCCTTCCCCTTTCACTTTCAACTCACCCCACAAACATTTCACTTCTTTCTCCCTCAATTTATCCGCTCTAGTCTCGTTCTAAGTATGCTCTGTGGTTGCGGCTAAGTCCGATCTTCCACATCAGAAAGAATTACTAGAGTTTGACCCTAAAGCCCCCGTCCCGCTAAGTTCCCGTCCCTTACAAAGCTAAACCCGTCGAACCTCTGTCCGGCTTCCGCCAATAATGGATGAAGAGGCTCTTCGTGTAGGTTTTTTGGTTTGTGATTTTTTTTAATCGAAACAATTTGATTTATTTTTTATCAAAACAATCTCTGATTATATTACTTTTTTATAGATGGGTGCCGAGATATACGATCCTCGATTGTATATCCATTATGGCCCAAGGGATGCGAGTCTATTAACCGATCAGCAAATGCATCGCTCCCGTGCCATTTGGGATAACAATCCGGTAATTTGATGAACTGACTTGCTTTATTTTATTATTTTCTAATGTTTTATTTTGCTTTATTTAATCTAATTAATTGATGTTTTTCCTATTTTTTTTAGGAATCTCTTGTTCCCGTGGTTCATAAAGGGACCAATAACTTGCCCGCTTGGCATCCAAGGTTGGAGCCCTATATAGCGAGGACCGGTTTGGGAATGTTGTGCCATTTCTTGCGGATCGAGATCGACAACGAGCTGCTTACGGCAATGGCGGAACGATGGCGTCCCGAAACCCATACATTCCACCTTGCGGAGGGGGAAATGACGATCACCCTCAAAGACGTGGCGATCCTCACCGGGCTTCCTATATCTGGAGATGCCATCATTGGGAACACGACCAAACCCGAAGGAGGTTGGGGGCCGCTCATCCGTGATCGTTTGGGCTTCGACATGCCGACCACCACACCAAATCAAGGACGGGGGCATCCACCGTTGAATGCGGGGCAAGTGTCGGTCCCGTGGCTGGTATCTCACATCCAGCAAGAGGTGGAAATCAATGACGAGACACCGGAAGAACAAGTCGAGCGCTACGCCCGCATCTACCTCATCGGTTTGGTGGGTGGATTTTTGTTCCCCGACAAGTCCAACCGGTGGATTCAAGGCATATGGTTGCCATTGCTCACCGGTGACTGGGATGCAATTGGAGAGAAGAGTTGGGGATCGGCCGTGCTAGCGGGCGTATACCGGGAGCTGTGTACTTGCTCGAGGGTTGGGGCAAAGCAAGCTGGTGCTGCGATGTTCATCGTTCAACTGTGGGTATGGGAGCATCTTCCAATGTTCGCACCTCTCGACCCACGTCCATACCGGAGAAACGATGATGAGCTCAACCTTCTGCAAAATCTCCCCTACGGTGTCAAGTAAGTTTATTCCGTACTTAGCCCAATTTAAATTTTATTACATGCTTGAGCTAGATTTAAATTGAATTTATTCCGTACTTAGCCCAATTTAACTTTTTATTACATGCTTGAGCTAGATTTAAATTGAATTTATTCTGTACTTAGCCCAATTTAACTTTTTATTACATGCTTGAGCTAGATTTAAATTGAATTTATTCCGTACTTAGCCCAATTTAACTTTTTATTACATGCTTGAGCTAGATTTAAATTGAATTTATTCCGTACTTAGCCCAATTTAACTTTTTATTACATGCTTGAGCTAGATTTAAATTGAATTTATTCCGTACTTAGCCCAATTTAACTTTTTATTACATGCTTCAGCTAGATTTAAATTGAATTTATTCCGTACTTAGCCCAATTTAACTTTTGATTACATGCTTCAGCTAGATTTAAATTGTCTGCACTTCCGTACTTAGCCCAATTTAATTTTTATTACATGCTTAACTAGATTTAAATTGAATTTAAATTGATTCTGTACTTTTACTTACAAGGTGGATAGGAGCAAATACGAATGACCATCAGCCTGAGCATTCGTTACTGTTTTATCGTTCTGAGTTAGATAAACCATGGTGGAATCAGGTAATCATGTTTTGTCCATATTTGAACAAGATCAATTTTATCAAAGTAAATGGTCGTTAATTCCGAATTTTTGTGATTTTAGGTTATATGGGATCCATATCCACGTGAAGTGGTTGAGCTGCATCATCTTAGGCACCCTCTGGATCACGAGACGTGGTTGTGCAAGGTGCCATTGATCTGTTGGCACATTGTGGAATGGCACCTACCCGATCGATCCCTGAGGCAGTATCGAATGGAGCAACCAATTCCACAAGACCCGCCAGCAGGTTTCAAGGAGCTACATGCTATGGACCTCCGAAACAATGCAAACTGGACGCTAAAGCATGGATTCTACATCAACATCTGGGAGAATCGATCCCAATGGGTGGTGCAAGGGATGCCGGAGACGA